CAGTAGAACCAGAAGTGGACATCACTTGTTGAATAATAATGTATGAAGGAAGGAAGAAGAAAATTGGACATTTTTTGCCATTTTGAAATTCAAAATTCTTAAATGAAAAATGCTGTTTGAACATAAATTATGTATAACAGTCCAGTCTGGCTCTTTAAGTCCAAGCTGAACCAAAGCATGATTTGCTCAACAGTAATTTACCAAAAACAATAAAATATTGTCTGAAAATGTGGATCTGCAATACTGGAACCTTCAATTCAAAATGCCTTTTGAAGATACAATGTTAATAATTTTGTGATAATGTCAATGATTAACATAATCCATTGAGACTAAAGTACTATATTTTTAGAGCAAAATATGTGGGTCTTGTAACGAAACCCCATGTTAGTTTTGACTACTTAATGTACTGTCCAAATGTATTTACATTAAATGTACATTTATTTAATTTCATTTATTTAAAATTAAGTGTTTCATTTTGCAGCATCGAGAACATTTAACAAAAAATTACTCAGAAGCCTCAACACTATACAATATATAACAATATAAAATCAGCTTTTTTAGTATTTAGTGTGTCCACTGTTTGCCTTTATTACAGCTTCCATTCTTTTCAGGAGATTTGCTTTTTGTTTTCCAATGAAATCTGCAGGGATATTTTTCCACACCTCCAAAGTTCAGTCTTAGAGGTTTGTGGCATTTTCTGCTTCTCACAATCCAAACTGAGGTCTGGGCTCAAATTTTCTTCTTTTTGTCCATTTCTTTTTCTCAGTAACAGCTTCTTAACAGCTTAACATCCTTTCCGACCCATAGTGTCTAGTCTTCTCAAAGATTTATACTGTTTATCTGATGGGGACAGTTTTGGTGGTCTATCAGGTCTTGTATGGTTATTATGTATCCCATTTTCTCTTTTTAATAAATTTGTTGAACTCCAGTTTTGCAAACTCCTGCTTTTTTCACTTATTTCCTTTTGACTTTTCCCTTCCCTGTGCAAGTGGATTGTCTCATATGTAATCTTCTCAGAAATATCACTTGAAAATGTATAACTAGTACTTATTGTACTTGGTGAAATAAATGAAAGTTCTCGCGTTTGCACAGTACTGTATTTCCATACAAAACCAGACACCACAAAGGAATCAGTTGAGGGTGACACAAGCACGCTCGCCTACCTAAATGTCTAGCACTTAAATATGCAAGGGAAAAGTTCACACCCTGCATCGAGCCTGTATTGCTTTACAGGAGCAGACAGTGTCACTGGACCAGAGAGCAGAGAAGTGGGTCAGACAAAACACAGAGGACCTTGAGTTCATTTAACATATAAATATACATGCACGCTATTCATTTCAACTGAAGAGCCATTAATGAGGTGCCTCCAGGGGTGTGTGAGAGCACATGCATATTCCTCACTTACTCACCGTGAGCTGTCTGGAGAAGGGTGTGTCCTTATAATAACATTAACACCTCCAGAGGATGAAGACCCAGCCTTGTCTCTGCTGAGGCTCTGATGGCAAAGCACAATGCAAATAGAGGCCAGTCATGAATGAGCTTGTGTCAAATCATGCAAATGTTTTATATTGAAGATCCGGAGAGTTCACAGCATGGCATGCCTAAAATGCAAACGCAAAGATAAAGCATCTCAAAGATGGGAGGAAAATACTCGGAATAATAAAACGCTGTGTGTGCTTCCTAATAGATGCCATTTTACTATTCCTAAAAGTTGCCTAATAATGAGAAAAACAGCAGTTGAGCTTAAGTTAATTTATACTTCACTGAGACATTTCACCACAGAAATCCCTCATTTTGCTGCTTAAATATGCCCAGACTGGGAGCAGCGCAGCTTCCAGATTTTCCTAATTAAGAAAGAGCGCTTGTGTGTAGTCATTGAGGGACGTACAACAAAGCTAATGAAATAATATGTTTGCTTTAGTCTTTGGCAAGATGTTCCCATTCAACGCATCCTAATTTGTGGCCAGTCCTTTTTGTTCTCCAAAGTTAATTGGCCATTTGGAGAGATCAGACTGCTACATTTCCTCATGACGACTTCGCATCAGCCTTTGAAATGGTGGGGTACAATAGCCAAAGAACTGATTAAAATATGATATTCTGGTCATCCAGACTCGCAGCAGGCTACGAGTCAGGCTGGATCTATTTGCACAGGATAGTCTAATCTTTATCCAAATGAGGTTTGCTCGGTAGAAAATGACCTGCTCAACCTGATATCCGGTTCAGTTTGATTGTCATTTGCATTTGAAGCATTTCATTTATTATTGTCTTTTTATTCACAGGCTCAGCTCATCACTTTTGTTCTATTACTAGCTCTGTGGATCTAAGGCTTTAGTTAAGAGCATTATCAGACTTCAGAACCATTACAGACAGTTGCTGATACCACAGTTTCTTTGAACACACACAACACATTCAAAACCATTGTTGTCCTTTGAACATTACTGTAGGGTATTGTTTAAAACGGCACAGTTTATCTAAGCATAGTTTTCCCTTAACTAGACCAACTGATGAGCTATTTTGTCTCTCTGTTCCTCTCTCCTGGGGGTGAGTGAAAAACAAAAGGTGTCATTTCAATCAAGCCAAAGAGGCCCTGGGGGAGCTGCTCTGTTAGGATTCATAAATAAAGTAATAATTAACCCACTGATGTTTTTTTTTCCCCCCTATTCAGCAATAATGAACCTCTTCATTCAGAGAACAAGGTGATGGAATGAACAGAGCATTTCAGGTGTTTTAGCTTAAAGCAGCATGTAATCTTTTTGAGAAAACTGAAAGAAGAAAAAGAACACACTAAAATATGGTGTGTGCACAAGTCGGCCTGTAAAGCCTGAAATAATCATATAAAAGTCAAAGGTACCAGATTTGGCGGGAGTTTTTGAACCACATCATCCTTCTTTCCATATTAATGTCATACTCACAGACTCAAAAAGAAGGTCCAACTTGATGTTTAGGTCTCAAATGCAAAATCAACATTATATTGAT